TAGGAAATGGAGGCATATCCCTGCTCATGGATAGGGAGGATTAACATTATCAAAATGGCAAGGCTCCCCAAAGCACTATACAGATCACATTGAATGCGGTCCCTATTAGGATACCCATGATATTTTTCAAAGAAATAGACAAAACACTCCTGGAATTCATATGGAAGAATAACCCCCCACTAATAGCTAAAGCAATTCTTGGGAAAAAGAAGATGGGCGACATTACCTTCCCCAACTTCAAACTGTACTACAAATCAATCGTAATTAAAACAGCAGTGTATTGGGCTAGAAACAGACTTGCAGAACAATGGAGCAGAGTTGAATATTCTGTCACAGACTCTCAAATATATGATCACTTAATCTTTGACAAAGGAACAAGAAATGTGAAGTGGAACAAGAAAAGCCTCTTCAACAAGTGGTGCTGGAAAAACTCAACAGCTACCTGCAAAATAAATTGAACTCTGACCTCTGTCTAACATCAGGCACAAAGGTCAAATCAAAGTGGATTAAGAACTCAGTATCAGACCTGAACCCATAAGGTACGTGGAGGAAAATGTAGACAGAACCCTCCGTGACATTGAAGCTAAAAGCATCTTTAAGGATGAAATACCACTGACCAAGCAAGTGGGAACAAACATAAAAAAATGGGACTATATTAAACTAATAAGCTTCTGCAACTCAAAAGAAACAGTTACCAAAATACAGAAAGAGCCATGGAATGGGAAAGAATATTTACTCAATGCCCATCTGATAAGGGAGTAATCCCAAGGATATACAAGACACTAGTAGAATTGTATAAGAAAAAAACCTCCAACCCCATCAAAAATGGGGAGAAGAAATGAACAGAATCTTCCTCGGAAAAGAAATACAAATGGCCAAAAGACAAATGAAAAAATTGCCAATCATCAGGGAGATGCAAATCAAAACAACAATGATATGTCATCTCACACCACAGAGACTGACACAGATTCAAAAGAAAAAAAGCAATCAGTGTTGGCGTGGATATGGGGGAAATGAGACACTCTTTTACTGTTGGTGGGAATGCCAACTGGTCCAGCCTTTCTGGAAAACAATATGGGCATTCCTTCAAAAACTAGAACTTGAACTTCCATATGACCCCGCAATACCACTTCTGAGAATGTATCTCGAGGGTGCTAAAAAGCACAGTAGAAATGACATCTGCACCTGTATGTACACTGCAACACTGTTTACAATCGCCAGAATATGGAAACAACCTGAGTGCCTGACAACAGACAACTGGTTAAAGAAAATTTGGTACATGTACGCAATTGAGTACTATGCAGCTGTTAGGAGAGATGTAGTCATGAAATTGCTCATAAGAGGATGGATATGGAGAATATCATGCTAAGTAAAATGAGTCAGAAAGAGAGAGATAGACGTAGAAGGACTGCACTCATTTGTGGAATATAAAATAACATAATATGAGAATGACACCCAAGAACAGTAGACACAAGAGACAGGTATATTGACCCATAGTTGGAAGCCTGTCTCATGAACTGGCAGAGAAGGCAGCTGGAATAGAGAAGGAATCACTAAGACAATGATGGTTGGAGAAATCATTCGGGATGAGAGATATGTGCTGAAAGTAGATAAAGGACCAAATGTGATAACCTCTCAGTATCTGTATTGCAAACCATAGTACCCAAAAGAGAGGGAGAGTGTGGGGGAAGTTGTCTTCCATGGAGGCAGGGGGAGGGTTGGAAAGGGGAGGTATACTGGAGACATTGGTGGTAGAGAATGTGCACTGGTGGAGGGATAGGTGTTTGATGATTGAAATTCAAATATGAAAGCTTTGTAACTGTATCTCACAGTGATTCAATAAAAAAAATGCCTGCCATAGAGGCAGACTGGGGGTTGGTGGGGTGGCAGGAGGAAAACGTGGATCACTGGTGGAAAATATACACTGATGGGGGGATGGAGTTGGAACATTTATGACTGCAACCTGATCATGAGCAGATTTGTAATCTCAGGGTGACTCAATTAAAAAAAAAGATAACATTATACAGAATCTTGCTTTCATCCCCTTGCTCTTAAAAATAATTCTGTATATGGGAGCAACATATTCATTTTGCAGGGTTTCATACTTCACTATAAAACAACTTTTGGTGGAGAAAATCTACCAGTTTAAATAAAACTGACATATTGGTGGTAAAGGTAAAGGTAAAGGCCCTCCTGTTGATCATCGATTTGCTCGAGCGGGCCCAGTAACGTCTCCATTGGAGACTTTGTTGTTACTGTGTTTGGCATATCGAATACATCACGGGGAGCTTGCCAGGCTCTGCCGTGCGGGCGAGATACTCTCGGTAGCTTGCCGGGCTCTCGGAGAGGGGCGGAGGAATCGAACTCGGGTTGGCCATGTTGGCTGCGTGCAAGGCAAACGCCCTACCGCTGTGCTATCGCTCCAGCCCCAACATATTGGTGATGTATTAAATAATATATCCTGAGTCACCATTCCCTTTATTTGCATTCCACTCAATCATTCAAGAAATAATACAATTTTAAAATAATAATAAACTTATAAAATCGACGTTTACATCACTATTATAAGAGGCTTCCTTCAGTTTTAAAAATAAATATTTCTTTGTTACATTTTCCTCTCTTGTCTTCTGTGATTTTACTACTTACATTTCTGATCAAACATCAAGCTGCCTTGCGGGCTTCTTCATATATGTGAAAAATAAAGATGTAAAAGCAATGCTCTTAATACAGTAAACAACAACAGCAACAACACACATACACAACACACACCAGCACTATGCAATCTTCTTATCCATCATAAGGTGGAAGCATACTTATCAGAAGGCAGATGGCATGCTTTTTTTGGTTTTCTATTAGTTAAGGAATAAAATATTTTGTAAAATTCCACGAGTGCTGGTTTTGAAGCTACTATCTTTAAGCTTCAAACTTAGCTTTAGAATCTGAAGCCAGTTGCCTCCCAGGTCTCCTTTGCTGACTGCCTCCTTGGCAGGGCAAATACAGGGCGGGGAAGGAGAGTGACTCGGGGGTGGGGATGGGGACCAGCCTGTGCCTGGACTTGACCCCTGCCCCTGGAGCCTCCCTGAGGCTGGGCACCCCAGCACTGAGGTAGGCGTTAGTCTCCAGATTTCAGTCAGTTACTGAGATGCTCTTGAACTATCAACTTCAGTTCCCAGCTACCACCAGACAGAGGCCCTCTTCCAAAATCCACCTCCTGTTTTCTTGGACCCACCCAGGCAGGGCTGGAGACGTACAACTCTTCTGAGATCTGAGGGCTTGGGGCTGCAAGTTCTGTGTCCCCCCCCGCCCCCCAGTGCAAATATGCTTCCCCGCAAATCCCACTTCCCAGTTTAGGCCTGAACTTCTAACAAATTCCTACAGCCCAGTATTGATCAGATGGTTCATGTTTACATGGGATTATTTACTTTTACTCAAAGGATCAATTTTAACTTTATGCCTTGTCTAAAAGTTCCTTCCTAAGGGAGGAAGTTTCCTCCCTACTAACCCGGCAAGCTACTGAGAGTATCTTGCCCGCACGGCAGAGCCTGGCAAGCTCCCCGTGACGTATTCGATATGCCAAACACAGTAACAACAAAGTCTCCAATGGAGACGTTACTGGGCCCGCTCGAGCAAATCGATGAACAACGGGAGGGCCTTTACCTTTTTACCTTTATATAGAGATGTATATTAGACATATCCCCAGGATGATATCTCTACCGTGAATTTGTTTACCACGGATTTACACAATATTTACCATCGATCCTCAAAATGAAATATAACTATATTGTTAACATCAATAATTTCAAATAAAGTATCCTCTCCCGTCAATTTGATTCCTTCAAGGACAATGCCCTAGGGTAATGGAGCGAAGGGAACATCTCTTTTCAAATTTCCCTCTACAATATTTCATGCTGGGATGTGAACAAACCACAAAAGTCTATACCAAGAAAGTGTTTCACGTGCTTTAAAGATATTAACCTGTGAGAGACTGAGGCAGCCCTACTTATTACTGATTTTAGAAGGGAGCAAAGTCAAGGAACATTTCAGCTCAGTCACTTGGGCTGTGGTCCCAGAATCAAGCAGGGTGTTCCCAGAACATATATGCCAAATCCCTTTAAATGTTTTCATATAGCATAGATAAATCCAGTGTGTTTACTTGCCTCTCCTGCCAGCACATCCTTCCTTATTTAACTTTAATGTTTCCAAACATTTTGTGACATCCCACATTTTTAAAAATTCTTATTTTTGATCACTCAAAAACATATACACACAGAATTAAAAATCAGTCATATTTGTACAGACATACAAGTTAATGGCAGAGGAAGGGAGGGATTGCGAGGAATAATGACTTGCAGCCTCTCTCTGTTGTCTAACCAGGTGAATTCAGTGTGGGTAAGGGGGAGTAACTGAGCTCTCCAACTCTGTCATGTGGAGCTGCTCAGAGATAGATGCTACTGTCAGTTGATGGACGAAGCAGCTCAGCTGGCTATGGAGAAAAACCGAGAGACTGTGTGATGGTCACTGTTCATCTCCTGCCCGAGCCTGGTCTCAGGAGAATACATATCCCAGAGCTCCTTCAGCCAAATGTCCTTTATTGATATTACATAAAGGCCAGCAATGTACAGGCTTAGACACAACGGGGATCTTTCATTACAGTTACTAAATACACAAAACAGCTCTGAGTGGAACTGCAGTTATGTACTTCACTCTTAGTACTTATGGGTCTTGGGGTATTTCACATAGTGTGTGTGTGTGTGTGTGTGTGTGTGTGTGTGTGTGTGTATGTGTAAAATGTAATTTTTTCCTTTGGTTTTTGGGCCACACTGGGAAGTGCTCAAGGTTTATTCTCAGCTCTGTGCTCAGGGATCACACTGCTGGGCTTGGTGGAATATATATGGGGTTTAGGAGATGAAACCCAGTTGGCCTCCTCCAAGGCAAATAAATGCCCTAGGGATGAAATATCACTCTGGTCTCCTCAACACATGAGTCTTATCCCTTTATGCTGTAGATGCACCACTCCTAGAAAGATTACGATACTTCCAGGTCGGTAAGTGGAGTGAATGGAGAAAGCTCCCAATCCAACCTCCTGCTCCAAGAATCCATTTAATGTATTGTCTTCAGATAGAGGATGTATCGGATATTAAACTGATTGGAATATATACTACACTTGATCTTAGTCAAAAGACTGAGAAGCAATGTAAATAAAAATCCCTAAGGAATTCCTCCTTCTGTTTGGACTTGCTGGCTCGCAGGGCTGTCATTCCCATGTGCTTTTTATTAATGTGCAGGCTTTTGTTAAGCATCTCATTATTGATAGTAGAATCTATGCATACACTTAATTGACCGGGTTTGGCATGCACTTCATAAAGACTTTCTTTCCTATGCTGTTTCTCACTTATTATTATTACAGGGGAGCATAAAGGTAGGCAAAGGCAGAAAAGAGATTTTTAACCTGCTCGTGGCTTGGTGACAGGTAATGCTGAAATTCCTGTGTAATGAGCCATATGCTTATGTCATTTTTGCTGTCCTCTTAAAGAAAACAGAATCCCTGAATCTGAAGCAGACCGTCTTATTGACAGTTATGTCTGCCCATGTCTGTCACAAAATTAACAGTCACTCAGTGTAACTCTGTATGATAGCTGCTGTGGACTGTCCATGAGAAGGAGTTTTGTCGACAAACTCTCCAGTTCTAGGTTCTCTTCATCACATATAGTACACAGAAACACACACACACACACACACACACACACACGCACACACACGTGTCCTTCAGAAGCAGCTTTTCTTAGCACTGGAGTTTCCCAGAAGGCACCCAGAGCCTGCCGCTGACAGAAGCGTGGCAGAAGCCCGACAGAAGGCCGAGAGGGGTCCCTGTAAAAGAGAAGAGCACCTGAGAGCATAAAACAACCTTTACGCATGCGGATTTCTACTGTCTCATTGTCATTTTCTTCCTGGGTAATCAATTTTTTATCAGTGGATTTTATAGTTTCCAATAAAAATTATATAAGTAGTATATAAGTATGTAATTCTAAAATTGGCACTTTTCAAGTTTATGAAACTTATACTTAACAAGATCCTCAACATGCACATAACCAACTAGACTCTTTATCGATATTATTCATTTTGTAGGAGAAAAACAAAATCCCAGGACAGTTAGCCCTACATTAACTGATGTGTTTTGTCCACTGTAAGGTCCTAAACCAGCTAATGTTTGTCAAGGCCAAGATCAATTTTGCGTTGTTCCACCCTTGAGAATACAATTTAGGCTGTGGTAATCAAAACACGTGTAATTATCTGCGTTGTAATTATTGAATGCTTGGCAGAAGTGGGGAAAGAGGGTATAGACCATTCATTCTCTAGAAGCTGCTTGTTCAAGTCTTCCAATGGCGTGGGGGTATCCCTGGGTTATGGATTTATTCAATATATAAGTCATCTTTTTACTACCATAAAAATACTAGTACAGAACTATAGACAAACTGTGTTTTATGTTCATTTGAACACATCTGAGATATTAAATGTACTGTACTGAAAAGTAAATAGTTATGTCCAAGCAGCCATCATACTGGAGAGATACAAAAAAAGTGAATGATGTCTACTTTGGTTTTAAATTTATTTTAGAGAATACTAAAATTCGTCTCCATCTCTTACTGACTGGGGCTGGAGTGATAGCACAGTGAGTAAGGCATTTGCCTTGCACGTGACTGACTTGGCCGACCCGGGTTTGATTCCTCTGCCCCTCTTGGAGAGCCTGGCAAGCTACTGAAAGTATCTCACCTGCACGGCAAAGTCTGGCAAGCTCCCTGTGACATATTAAATATTCCAAAAACAGGAACAACAAGTCTCACAATTTGTTGTGAGATGTTACTGGTGCCTGCTCGAGCAAATGGATGAACAATGGGAGGACAGAGCTATAGTGGACAGTGCTCTTACTGATTATTCTCAGTTCTTCACATTGGCTGGAGAATTGGGTCAAGGTCAAACAGGGGTAAGAAGATACAGCCTCGAAACAGATAAGCAAAATACAGCAAGTCTAAAAGTGCCGGGTACCAAGAAATCTACAGAACTGAAAATGTTATGACTCTAAGTTAAAAATTACATTGTTTTTAATGATTAACTGAAAGTTGAGTGCACTGCATGTATTGTTTTATTTTTACGCCACCAGACACTATTGCTCCTGGGCTATTTCTATGGAGAGCAGCTCAGGGATGTCCCAGACAGGCTGCTGGTCTCAGGAATAAGAGTGGGGCTCAACTCTCCCCCTGCTCTTCCAGGCCAGTCCATGCACTTCCACGACTCTGGTCATGTTTGGATAATGTCCGTGTCTCAGGAGAGGGTCGGTGTGGCTCAGAGTGAGTTGTGTGAAGTCCAGGCTCCGTCCCAGGAGCAAACCGACCCCGAGCCCTGACAACCATGGCAAGAGCCACAACAGAGACAGGTGAGATGGCATCCAGGTCTGGGGATGGCTCTGCGGGGACCTGTCCAGCTGCCCAGGGTATAGTCTGACTGTCCTGGAGGGGGCTCTCACTGTCCAGCCTGGGTTCCGTGAGCATCACAGCCAAGAGTGAGCAGCCTGTCCAGGGTATTCCTGAGCTGCTGGCAGGTGCCCAGGCTGAGCGTGTGAGTGCATCCATCACTGGGCACCCCCAGGAAACACCCAGGCCTGCTGATGGTAATGGCTGCAGCTGCAGCAATGGCCAAGTGGCAGGGAGGAGCAAGGAATGAACAATGAAGGAAGTGCAACAAAGGAAGTCCCGGCCATGCATACCTGCTCGGTCAGCTCTGGAGAGCTGTGCATGTGAGTCCCCCTCACTTTCCGAGAGATGGAGCAGAGCTGGTGCACCACTTCCATGACCGGAGGTCTTGCTGGAGGCGCTACAGCTGGGGGCTTCCTGCAGTGGCTGATCAGACTCAACTCTGGGTGTATCTGGGTGTATCTGATCTATTTGAAAGGGGGACATAAGAGCTGGTAGTGGGGACTGCTGTCTGCCACAGTCTTGGGCCTGCATGGAGGCACAGAGCTCATCTTTCTGCCCATGGAAGCAGGAGGTCTCAGATGAGCCCTCTGCCTTCTTTCTGTGCATGTGTGGGGGTGAATGAAAAAATGGCTTTGAATCTGGAGCTTGGGAACCCGAGATGCCAGGGAGGCAGCATGGGGCTGAATCTGTATGATCTATGCCCTGTTTGAATCATTCAGGAGCCGTATGCCATTAAATTAACCAGAAAGCTCTAGATAGCTCTTAGCTCATGCTGCTCCTGTCGATACATCATCTCAGAACAGAATTTTGCTGACTGGTTTAATTACACCTTTTCTCTGCAACTCTGGATTTTGAGCAGTGACAGGAATGAGGAGAGGGGCCTGGAGGATTGGGCGGTCTCTGTCATTCCCCTCCAAGCTCACTGTGTCCCTCACATTACGTTTTACACATCTCACAAAGTCCTTCCTAAGAACATGGTCCTGTGACTGGAATCTTCCTGCCATAGCTGCCTCAAGCATGCTCGTAACTCGGGTCTGAGAAACATCCTCTCTCACGGCCCAGCTAACCAGTGTGTGTCCTCTGGCACTCACTCTTTCCTGTGCACCCCAGCCCCAATGCTAGGCAAACACTGGCAACATTGCTTAAATTCAGCACAAGTTCCCCCTACTCAGGAACAGTCTTTGAGGGACCGTCCACTCAGGAATCCTCCCTGGATGCAGGCGGCAAATTGCACCGTCTGCCTGATGCAGAAATTCTCACTCGTGGTCAATTCATTAAACGTCAATGATCATTCTTTCTTGTGAAATAATCACAGAGGCTCAATGTGCCATAAATTTATGAATATGAGGGGATTAAATCCAAGTGCTCCAAACAGTAGTGAACAGATGAAGACTGAATTCTAGTCTGTAATTTAATCACACTGACATTATGGAGAGTCTAGGAGAACACTGATAGCCAACTATTCATGCACATTCAAATGTACGTGTACTTGGAATCTAAGTACAAAATCTGTACACTAAATATCTGAAATTTATTTTAATAGACTATTGCTGTGAAGTTAGTGATGGAGAGAACCTGGGACCTTTGGGAAAAGGCATCATACGAGTATCCACTAGCAAAGAGCAGATAAGAGTTGGAATCTTTCAGGAGCATCTTTCTCCTGTTAATACTGATGTCTATCAGAATGCTCAGGAGAAACTGCCTTTCCTTTTTGCTAATCTGGAATGCTGCTGCTGATCATAAATACTTAGAAACTTCGTTTGGCTGTGATTTGCTCCTCAAACTTCTCTCCTTATTTCTTTGTATAGGAAGTCCCACTCAGAATTTCCGGTTTTCAAGGGGTTTATCTAAAATCAAACAAAAGAAAATAAAAACAGAACTGGAGGCAGCAATGCTAAGTAATAACACCAATGATGAGTTTTGCATACCTATGGCCCAAGGGCCACGTTGGGTTAGCCCCTGGGTGTGGTAGTAACCTCTGAGGCCTATCAGGGAACAAGGGGAAATGGCAAGGAGAGAGGGGAGGTGATTTCCTGGGGACCCAGAAACAAAGAACGTCAGAATCATCATTTATCATGTTGACCACACTCCTGTGAAAATTCTACTAACCACATAAGCCAGAAGTCCTGCTCCATTCATGTCCTATTCTTCTTCAAGCGGTAGGGAGGGACTGGCTCTGTCCTCAAACAAAAAGTCGATTTTGCATTGTCAACTGATGCCCACCCCCAGCCACGTCCCCCTTTCTTCTTGATCCCCCAACCCCAAGTGTTTGTCACTGATCACTCCCACTATTTCAGGGTCTGGGGTTCTTATAAATTGAGCCCGTGAAGGCACAGCCATTCCCTGATAGCTGTTCATCTAAGTCAAGTCCCCTGAGTCAGGGACCACAATCCCAGAAGGGGAAGGAAGACTTGTTTTGCTGTATATTCAAGACAATTGTGTTTCTTTCTGTTCTAACACAAAGGGAAGCACACTCCATAGATGTTGCTCCAAGCCAGACTGGACTGGGGCAGAAGTGGCGACAGGATGAAGCCTACAAGAACAGGACAAAGACAAAGCAATTCCATCTTGGCCTTCTGATCAGAGAAAGCCTCTCCACCCCCTTTTCCTCTTAATTTTAAAATCAATCTCTCCTAAATTTTTTCACAGGATTCTGAGACAGTGCTAAGTATAGCATCTGGGCCATGATGAATAAATCTGAATTTCCAACATCACTCTGCAT